AAGTGGAGTCTGGCCCAGGGAACTATGGCTACGCAGGAGACCATTTTCCCTAGAAGTTGGGAGAGTAAGACAAGTGGAACGGTGCGGCCTTTGTATACTCGGCGAGCTAGGTCCCTGATGCTGACCAACCGCTTCTGGGAGAGATAGACCATACAGTTTGTGGTGTCTATGATGGCTCCCAGGTGCAGAAGCCTGGGTGAGGGAAGCGTCTGGCTTTTTTGAAAGTTCACCGAGAACCCGTGCTGTTGGAGGACCTGAATAGTTGATTCCAGGTCCGACTGGGCTGCCTGGAAGGAGGATGCTTGGATCAAGATGTCGTCCAGGTAGCACTGGACGCGTACCGGTACTTTCCATAGATGGGCGGCCAGCACAACCAGGATCTTGGTGAACACCCTGGGCGCTGAGGAGAGGAAAAATGGGAGGGCCTTATATTGATAGTAATGACCTGTAACAGAACCTGAGGAACCGCCGGTGATCTGGAAGGATGGGGATGTGGAGCTCTATTGACGCCAGGAAGTCTCCCTGTCTGATGCCTCCCAGGATGGACCGGAGTGATTGCAGTTTGAATTTTTTGTATGTGATGTAATGATTCAGACCATTGAGGTCCAGAATTGCTCTACATCCCCCCGAGGTCTTGGGAACTACGAAGAGGATGGAGTAGAATCCCCTTCCCTTCTGATCTGGCGGTACCGGTTCTATGGCCTGAATATCTAGTAGGTGCTGAATGGCCTCCTGCATGATCCCCCTTTTTATTGGATCCCGTGAAGTGGAACGGGTGATGAAATGACCCGGGGGACTGGCCAGAAATTCTAGAGACAGGCCAAACTGGATTGTTTGTAAGACCCAGGCAAAAGTGGAAAAAGTGGGTAAGCCTTCCCCCTATGGGAAGTGTGGTATGGGAGTCACTTGGCCCTCCTGTAGGGGCGCCCTGCCCCTCGAAATGGCCACTTGTTTTGGTTCTGCTGCCTGGGTCAAAATCCCGATCTGTCATACGGATGGTCATATGGCCTGTCCTGTCTGGGCGTTTATGGGCGGGAGGGCTGGATGGCTGCTGAACCTGCTGCCAGCCGAAAGGACTGCCTGCGGAAATAGGGAGTGGCACGTTTGTCGGGCCGTTTGGTAAGATGAGCCATGACCTTCCGCTTGTCCTTGTTTTCCACAAGGTACGGAACCAGGGCCTCCCCAAAGAGATTGTTGCCCAGGTAAGGGGCAGTTACGAGGCGCCATTTAGCCTTGGCGTCGGCCTGCCAGTGTTTTAGCCAAAGCATCCTTCGGGCTGTAACGTTGGAGGCTAGAGACCTGGAAGCAAAGTTTGCCGACTGTAGAGTCGCATCTGCAGCGTACTCCATCGCCGCAACCATTTTGCTTAGGTCCTGGTGTGTCTGAATGTCCTTGGAAGGGATTCTGGCCTGGAGTTGGCGGAGCCATAAAAGAGTGGTTCGGACAAAAAAAACACGCAAGTGGCCATTTTAATTGCCCATGCAGCTGATTGATGGGTCTTCCGAAAGGCTAAGTCCCATTTCCTGTCCTCCGCTTTAAGCGCCTCTGCCATGTCCCCAGAGACTGCGGCTTGGGACACAAGAGGGGTCCAGGCTTCGTCTACCTTGGGGCCTCCAGGGCCTCAGTTAGGTCTGTAGAGGTGCTAAACATCTTTTTGTCTGTCCCGCCTACAGAGGGAAAGGAAGAAGGAGAGACCCATTGCTTCTTGATCCCTTTAAGAAAAATAGAAGGACAGGGAACGTGGTGCTGGGCTGCCACCGTTTCAAAGAATATCGGGTTAGGGCTGGAATCTGATGAGGCCTGTGGCTGAGGGAACTGATTGGACCCTATGTTCGCTGTTGTGGTGGCCTTGCGGAGCAAGGGGAGAAAAAGAGCCGGATTGAACAGGCCTCCCGAAGGAGATGGTTCTGGGGGAAGTTCCTCCTCCTCTGACAGGTTGAAATCCGGCTGGTCACCACTCTGCAGAGATGAGTATCCGCTAACTGAGGAATGTGTGGAAGACATGGGTTCCTGATACACCGGCATCCCCGCTGGAGGAATGTAAGGTGGAATGGCTGATGTGGAAATCTCCTGCCCGGGCGGGTGATAGGACTGTTCTGCAAGTGCACAGTCCACCACCTTGGACAGCAGGGCCTCCAGGCGGTCATCGGAGAAAATGTCTCCTAGATCTGGTCCCCTGAATCCAGCAGCCATCGGAGTGAATGTGGCCTCAGGAACTGAACCTGAGGGCAGGGTCAGTAGACTGATTGCCATGTGCTGAAGTGGCATTGGGGGGGCAATGTGTGGCGGAGGTTTCTACCAGGGACCACACGCCCTGAGCAGAGGATGAAGGACCTAAAGGAAGGTCAAATTCAGGGGCCACCAATTGATCCGTCTCTGATCCTGCCAGTCTCTGCGCTCTGGAGAACTCGTTCTCCAGAGCCTGGAGCCTACGGCTGGCTTGCTTCTCCGCCAACTTGGAAGGCTTCTTGAGAGTGGCCTTAGCCTTGTTCTTGAGCTTGCCCGCTGCCTCCTGCTTGGAGGTTTTGTGCCGGCCGTAACTGGAGGATGGGGAGGCAGTGCACATGGGTTGAGGCATCGTGGAGTCCTCCATCCTGGGTCAAGCTATCTCAGGAGACCTGAGGGGGAGCTCTGGCAGGCAAGCGGTTGGTGGGAAGAGTAGTTGGAGGAAGTAACGAGAACTGCTCCCCTGACCACCTGACCTGGTAATAAGTCTCTCTGGGCTCAGGTCACGGTTGTTAAATAAGACCGAATGCACGGTTGAGAGTTGCTATGGGCTCCGCCCGGAGGCCTTAGGTGGCCAGTCAACCGAAGGCACGGTTGAGACTTGCTATGGGCTCCACCCGGAGGCCTTAGGTGGCCATAGCAAGGTGCACTAGATGGCCCAATGAAGGGCGCAGAGGGCCTGAAAGTGAGGCCTGGAAGAGGCAATGTGAGAGGAGTTCAAATGGCGGCTCCGATCAAGATGGTGGCCTGAGAATTTGGGCCTAGTCTGTGAATTACTGGGGCTGTAATTAATGGATGCAGGTTTATGAGGCCTAGAAGACAGTCACTGGGGTAGGGCTAAAATAATTTCTCAAATGTGCTGAAGTAGCCAGAATATAGGAAAGGCCTTGTGGGAGAGCTTGGGGCCTGCAGTCAGTACAGGAGTCTGATGTGTTGGCCTGAGGGAGGGCTTCACGATGTTCCCAAGATGGCGGCCGCAACGGGCTCCGCCAAAATTCCTTGGATGGCAAGGGCGTGTGAGGGGCATGAAGTCTTGGGGGGAGGCCCTGTAGTACACTGAGGCCTTCAGCCCTCAATCTGGCTGATGTGAGTTTACAAGGCTGGCCGCATGGCGCGCTCAAAATGGCGGCCGCGGTGAACTTAGTTGTAGCTTCCTAGGCTTGGCCAGGATATGTTGAGATTCCTCAAGCCCTTGTCTCAAATACTTAGAAAAGGCCAAATTACTTGCCTGCAGAATCTGACTTTGACGACAAAGGGAACCTCCGTTAAGCCTGTGAGTTCGGCAGCCATCCAAAATGGCGGCTGCGACTTTCGGGCCGTTAGAAACGGCCTCCGGAGGTGTCGAGGATGAAGGTGAGCCCTGAGGGTGATTGTGGCTGCAGCGCTGAGTGCTGCGCAGGAAAGCCGACGGGCGAACTGGCAAGGAATTTTCCTCCTCCCCCCCAGAGCCCTGGGGAAATGAACGGAGAAGTACTCCCCCCCCAAAAAAAGCCTCAAATCAGCCAATTTGAGGCTGCGCTGATCCCAGCGTTCCTGGGGGAAAACGTTTGGAGAGAAATTTTTTTTTAAATGGAATCACTAATTAGGGGATGCACAAATACTAAAAATAAGGCAAGGAGAATTCAACAATGGATCTCTGACCTGCTAATTGAATTGAAGATCTCTAAAACCTGAGAGCCAAACCTGACACATCTTCAAGAGCTTGAGACCAAGTCAAGACTGGGTCTCCTAGCATCAGGGAGCGTGTTTGGCTACTTGGTCTCAAGAGCAGCCAGACAGAGAAAACCCATTGGTGGATTCTCCATCTCCTGTACTGGAGAAGTCTTTGAATAATTATCACTTTATTGATGTTATCATACTATTGGGTCAGGATTAAACTAAAAATATTCAGACATTTCTTCCTCTTTCATGTTTTTAAAAAAGAAATGCTATAATTCTCATAACATTCATATTCTCTGGCCTGAGTTATTGTGCTCCCTTTTGACCAAAATTCTAATCATATACAAATTCACGATGCAATTATGTATAAGTAATAAAATTTACTTAGTATTAGTTAGTGTTTTGTTGGAATTTGATAGCAGGTTTGTCAGGGAGACCAAGGACTGGATGCATGACACAGTATGGGAATTTAGCCATGGTTAATATAATTTGTTTTTAAGTCTCATTAATATCTCTAATATTCCTGTAGAAATCCATAAAGTGAAAAATAAAATAAAATGGCAGAAAAATAAACTGAACTAGCCAAACAAACAAAAAATATTTTAATTATCTGAAAAATTAATTCAAATTTGATTCTAGCTTTCTCACCAATTAATGTTTAAAATAAAAACATGGTTTCATGTGATCACAACATAATTTGAGCAGAGTGCTCTCAGCTAAGCTATCACTGATCAATGAATGTAGTTTAAAACAGAAAGCTCCATCTTTCAAGCAGAAAAGAGAGAGGAAAGTGAGGGAAAATTGTACAGGGCTCTCTATATACAGTGGTTTTTTCTTTAGGAAAACATGGCTTTACAATTACATTTCAACAAATGATTGTTTTATCTATTTTGCCAAATTTCTTCTTCAATTGCAATGTTTTGACTCCAGTATCCTGTTTCATCAGCCACTTTGTAGTACATGGAGTATACCAGTGTACAGTTTTAGTTTTTAATCAGTCTTTTTTCTCCCTTCTTGATATACTCGGGGAGAGGACTGAGGAATGAAATGTTTCATCCACTTTTTTAAAAAAAGCAAATGATACTTGCACATAGCTGGGCTAATGTTCTCTTACCTGTGATTTCAATTGCTCGTTTTTTGAAGGTGCTGATGACTGTCCCATCTTTCCTCCGCAACAGAGGACTGCTTCTTCTCTCTGCCACCTTCTGTTTTAATCGTGAGCGCACTTTTAAATTGGGTTCTGAGGCTGAAAGGAAGAGGGAGGCAAGAATGAAAATTAAGGTGGTCAGTATGAAATAGACAGACTTAGGCAAGGAAGCAAATTGTGGCGAGGAGAAGAAGCTAACTGCATCTACATTTACCAGATCAATCATATTGCTTCAAGAAAGACTGAGCTTTTTTATAAATATATTTATTCTGCATTTCTGAAACATAACAATAAAACACTCATTCCCAACACAATGTCTTCTAGTTCTAGCAAATGCCAGCCAGTACAGTTAAAGGTTAAAGTCCATATCTGGATTCAGGATGACTCCATTAAGAAATAAAGAATCTGAGCAGAAGACATATTATTATTATTCTTTTTTTAGCAACACAGATATCCAGCACTGATAGGACCTGTGTAGGTGGATGCAGCTTATTCTCACTTATTTATCCTCTTCTGCCTGATAAAACCCTCCACCTCCACCCAGGATGCCAATTTAGATTATTTTGCTCCATGAAATCTGGAAGATATTCTACATAGACAACTTTTTCTATTCAGCTTCTATGTCTTTATAAAAGCATAAGTGGAGTCCCGCTTGATCAAGCTTATGATTCATTTAGTCCGTCCATAGCTATGTAGATGCATTCATAAACAAAGACAGGAGAGTTGTTGTCTTCCCCTAGTGCTAGCAGCTATCTGGGATTAAGGAAGTAGTAAATAGCCACTAGGACTAGCAGCCATGGATAGCTGCTGATCTTTCATAAATTTGTTCAGTCCCCTTTGAAAACTTACTGACCATCATACCATCTGATAGCTGCAAATTCCATGGTTTCGCTAAACACCATTTCTACATGTCCTTTGAAAGTATATATTCAATCAGACAATGCCAAACAGACTACTACCTTTTATTCAGATCCTATCATTTTAGAGACTATAACTCAGAAATTGGCTAGTTTCTCTGCATCACCTTTTCAAGATCTTAATTCTTTCAAACTATATATTTTTTACTTGTAACCAAGGAGTTGGCAAGGTTCGAATAACCACAAAATATACCTAACAGACTGGAGGTGGGGAGAACAATGGGGAGAACCACTTGATATAGTTAATAGCTTCTCCAGTCAAAAAGTTGAAGAGGTGATGAACAAGATTCTTTACTGACTTAAGTCCTTAGATACATGCTGCCAGTCACTAGGTTAGGAAGACAAACAGTCAGACTTGGCATAAGGCAACTTCCTATGTTCCTAAAATGTCCTGATTTTACTTAGCTGCTGGGCTGGTTTTTTTTCACACAGTTTGACTGTAAAAAATTTTTTTTGCAAAAAACAGCTGAGCTGTTACACAATTAGCATCTAAACAGCTGATTTCTTGCAAGGGAGCAATGATTGCATCTAAAAATAGGCTGTTTGTGAAGCCAGTCTTTATAGTACATTTATCCAGTGCTCTACTGTAAATTTAGAATTCATGTCATAATATTTTAGCAGAATGAGGATTTAGTATGTGAGCTTGATTTTCAGTCAGAAGTTGGGTTTTTCACATTGTAAAATGCAGTATTTTATAACATACTTGTAATTAATATTCCTTTCTAATTTGTAATCTGATTTAATCAGATTTAATCAATTTTTGTTTCCTTCGCTCTGTCAGCACCAGCCCATTGTCTCTACAAGCTAGTACATTTAAGTTGCAGAAAAGCCATGCAAATTGACCCTCTCCCCTTTTGTTTATTCTTCAGCTATAGATCTTTACTAACCAGTTTTCCGGAGTGGAAAGTCATCTCTGCTATCATAAGTGCCAAGTAAAGGTAGTTTGCAAGAGGCTGGTGTTCCCGGGCTGCCTGTCTGGGGAGGGGAACTCTGGTCCAATGAGGTATGATGAGCCCCCCTGCACAAATCAGAAAAAAATATGTCCAGATTTATGTATTTATTAAGAAAATTTATATAGCTGCCCAACTCACTTTGGTGACTGACTCTGGGTAGCTTACAAAGAAAAACCAATAATTCCACAGTCATCAAGATTTAAATCAAGATAGATGTTTGTACACTAATTAGCATACAAGTAGTCCTCGCTTACTAACTGTTTCATTTAGCAAACATTCGAACCTCCAACAGTGTAAAAAAACAGCTTTGTAATCAATCTTCAAATTTATGAGTTGCAGCATCCCACAATCACATGGTCATCATTTGTGCACTTTGCAACAGAGATAATGAAGAATGTGGAAGTAAAATTATAAGCCAATGATTTTCTACATAGTGACCATTGTGCTTAGCAACGGAATTACTCATACAATTGTGGTAGCTAAGCAAAGACTACCTCTGCTTCTTCCGAAAGTATCCTTCTGCTTTCTCCATTCGTATTGGATTGCATTTTTAATTTATAGTTATTTGACATTTCTTTAAATTTCATTGAATGAAAACGGCACCCGAGTATATTCAGTAGTCAAAGGCCACTAGTACAGATGGATTCAGTTATCATTCATTTCTTCAGCCTTGTTTTTTTCTGAATAGCCTGAAATTCTTCTACCTTTCCATTCAGCTTTGATGAAAGAATTCTGTAATATCAGAATGCTCATTAACCCTACCAGTATGAGTTGAAAATGGTACCATGATTCTTAAATTTGTAAAGAATGAAGGAAAAAGGAAGATTGGAAGGAAGATCACAGTAATCTTTATCTTCTCCATTTCTCCTTTTGGCTGGAGAATGATCACTGATTTAGTATAGTAATACTGATCTTCAACCCAAAATTTAACTGGTTATTTGATCAATATTAATACCATTTCATCGAGCAACATATTGTATCCATTTGTCATTAAAGCTTAGACCACTATACCAAATTCAGTCTTCTGTCTATGGCCTTTTCTGTAAAGCAGAAATTCAAAGAAAAAATTCTGACAGCTACTTGATAGTAGAAGCATGAAAATAAGTATAGGCTTAACTGGGTAAGACTGGAAAGGATTTAGTGATATTTCCAGTAAAACTGCTCGTTTCCTTGAGAAATGGATTTGACCAGATGCTATACAAATTAGACAAAGATGTACTATTGTTGTGAACAGAAAAGGAAGGAGAAACTGTCTCACGCTTCCAGTTCCCCCACGATTCATTATCCAAAAATAGAATTTGCTTTTGCATGCACAGACACAAACATATACACACACAGAAACACACAAGCTGGCATACTGGTGAGGGAACTGTGAAATTGCTATTTTGAGCAAAATGAATGAATGAATTACTTCCCATCATAATATAATTATGTAAACATAATTATTGCTGAAGATTTAAATTTAGAGAAAATTGAGTCCTTGAAAATGAAGACATATTCCTATTGTTCCTATTGCTGGATATACAGGAGCAAATATCAGTTGCACACTGGCTGTATAGATCTTGCATGTTTGTGACTGAAGTATTTATTCCATAACTGAAACTCAACTCTGTGTACAGCCTGTCCTAAATCAGACTTAGATGAAAATCCTAGAGTAGGGTTTCTCAATCTTGGCAACATTAAGATATGTGGATTTCAACTTCCAGAATTCTGTAGCCAGCATGCTTAAAGTTAAGGTTGCCAAGACTGAGAAACCCTGTCCTAAAGATAAAGGAAAGACTTACCAGCATTTTGGATGCTGGGAGAGGGAATGATTCAAGCCACCCACTGTAGTTGGCTCTTTTGACTTGCTGAGAAGGAACTCTTGAAGTTTCAGCTTCACTTCAGTGCTTGCAATAGCACCTTTAAAAATTATAGAAAAACACTGGTAGAAAACATTAAAGGCAAGTTGAGATGTTATCTCCCTTCCCTAACCTGGGGCTATGCAAATATGCGACCTTCAATTCTCACAAGTATGCCAGTGAAATGTGTTCAGGGACACTACTTTTCTCATCTTGTATTCCAGGCTAACAACCTATTTTTAAAACCCAGCATCAATCAAGCTTACAAAAGGGGGGGGGGGAATCCACTTTTCCTAAGCACACTGGCAAGAATTTTAATCACATCAACCTTCACATATTCCTGAAGAATTCCATCACAGAGTTACATTTACTGAATTTTTTTAATCATTCTTTATTCATTTATTATGAGGTGGAGGTTACAGCATCAATTGAAGAGCCAAGCCAGACACAGTATAACATCCAGAAATGCCTCAAATTTTATTTCTTTAAACATGTTATACAATCCCAAATCAGGGCATGTCCCCTGAGGTTTGCCATTGAGATCTCTCAATTCAACCCATCCCCATGCTGCTGTTGACACAGATAACTGTTGGTAAACTGTAAAGAGCCTAGTCATGCTGGAGAAAAGTGGTAAATCTGTCCATCCAGTGTGAAAAAAAAGTATATGTACAGAAATGAATTTATGTACGGTACTATACCTGCCTGCTTCAATAAACATTGACTACATGTACAACCATGGGTGCTCAACTCACCATACATTGTCTCATTTAATCTTCAAAGGGAAAATGATTGTTCATCTTTGTTCAAAAAATAACTCCCAAAGTTTGCAGATTTATGAAGAATCTGAAAATTAATTTGCAAAGATTCTCCATTTAAATATATATATATATATTTAAATTCTACAATCTGAAAGGAAGTGCCATGACAAAGAAGTCTAACCTTGGGTTGAAAGCCAAATTCAACAATTTATTTACATCTTTATATTGCCAATATACTTGTGAGGACAATTTTAATTATTTGAGTGGGTTTAGGTCCATGCAGATTGTTTTCAAATATGCTTCTCTATATGATATTTTGGGAATAGGAGAATATAATCCTCTAACACTCTCTAGTTGTTTCTTCCAGTCCTTGAAATACAAACAGGATATCATTCCAATAAATGCAGTGCAATGCAATTAAAACTTATTACTTTCTTTGCTCTTCTCCTTGTTGCGTAAGATGAGTAACTGCTGCTCCAGACGCTGCTTCTCCAGCTCTTCTTGTCGCTGTTGTTCTCGTTTACGCTGTTGCTCTAGTTCTTGTTGACGCTTTGCTGCCAACATCTCTTGCTGTTGCTATAAAAAAGAACAGGGAGAGAGTCAACACCACCAAAGGCAATTGTGTATGTGCTTGAGCTTACATTATGCATAGATGTCACATATAAAATCCAGACATACATTTTCAGGTCACTGTGTGCCATATTTCAAACACAGATTATAACATCAAAGCTGGAAAAGTGAATTAAGATTGTTTTCACCCATTAATAATTTCTCTCTTCCAGTAATTGTTGCTTTAAAAAAAGTTCTGAGTGATAGGAAAGTTATTAACTAAGGCTCTTTCTACAGGATTTTAGCCATCTAGAAGTTTCCACTAATAAAACTACCATGGAACTCCTATTTTCATATAGAAAACATTTCTGTTACTCAGTAGATCATCTGAGCTCCTGCCTCCTGCTTCTCTAGCATTTGAAATATGATAAAAGATTATGCAAAAAAATAGTAATGCTAGTGCTTTGCAATATCCTTCAAGAGGTCCATGTTTGCTTTTATATTGCTTTTGCAGAGCATATTTGCATTCTGTAGTAATTCAGATTTCTCTTGATCTTATTGACTGATGGTTTCTCTTTTATGTTGTTCTCACTTAGTGTTTTATGGCCTGTCAGCTGTTACAACCTTTTTTTTACGGGAATTATGCTTCTTTCTTATTATTTTTGTGATTAGCTCCCTTACTAAGCAAAAATCAAGCTTGGGCTCTGTATGCCTATGCCAGTAAGGGCGAACCTTTTAGAGACCTAGTGCCCCAAAACCGCCCAGCCCCTGCCCCTGCCCCTGCTCCATCCCCGCCCCACCTGCCAGACCACCCACCACTTCCATGACCTGCTGTAGCAGATCGCCCAGGCGGCCCAGCAGCGTCATGGCGGCCATGCCCTCCGTTCGCGCCCTGCAGCATCATCTACATGCGATGGGGCGTGAGGGTGGAGTCTTGTCCCTGCTGCCATGTGCTTGGCTGCACTGCTCCATGTGGGCCATACCTGAGGGTGACTCTCCCGGGGGGGGGGCTGCTGGTGAGAAGGGGGCTGTGGGGGGAGGCGGGGCTGGGGCGATGGCCCGTGCCCACAGAGAGGGCTCCGAGTGCTGTCTCTGGCACACGTGCCATAGGTTCGCCACCACTGGCCTATGCTGTCCACAATGTAAATTTTTCATTTGTGTATTTATGCTTATGTAACATATTTCTACCAAAGCCCATGCCCTTCCTCTTTCCATTCTCTAAGCTGTTCTTTCCTCGTCTGGATAAAATCTGTTGTCACCGTTTAATTGTATTATGGTAACGACACAAAAATAAATTTAGGTTTGATAAGACACCAAAAGCATTCTAAAAATATAGCTTTAAAAGTCAGAAACTTCAATTAGATAACAAAATAACATTATTTCCCAGACTTTCATTTATTTTATGGGTAGCTGCAAAAAGGGTGATGGAATTAGGAATGAACACAAACATCATCCCTGAAAACTACTTGCCAACCTAGGTTCTATTGTCTATACTGATACCTTCAGAAGAAAATCAAAACCAAGAAGAAAGGATTTTTGTAGGGGGATGTGATGTAGAATGATATTGGAAAATAAAAGCATCTGGCCATATTTGGCCTCTTTATAATTAGCTTCTGATCTTGATAGTATTTAGATAGGAGATTACCATCAAATTCCAGGACTTCTGGCTGAACTAGGAAGTTATTGTGAATAGCCCAGAATTGCTTAAGGTGGACAGACATATAACATTATAAATAAATAGGAAGTTGAAAAATAATCCAAAGACAGCAATGCAAACCATTTCTACAGTATCTTCTCCCCTCAAAAACAAAACAAAACAAAATTAAAAAAACATGAAGAATTGTGAAGATACTAGAAGTTGGGCTCAGTTTTATAATATAAACAGATCCCTTTTTCTACTTCTGATTTTTAATCCCAATAATTATTATTTCTGAAAACACAAAAAATATGGAGAAAATCCTGTTGAAAATTTCCAGGTCTATGAAAGAACCTGGTATGTATAATTCAAAATTGAAGATGTGTATCACTGTAAGTAAAAACTATAAACTATGGATTTAACTAAATATTTTTTTAAGCAAAAGCTATAAATAAATAAAAAGTGGAATAAGGAAGTTTGGGATAATAGTTAAGATAAAAAGCTGCAAAATACTGATTTAAACAGTGGCTGATAGCATTTATAGGTACTACAATTTGTAAAACAAAAATGTTCATATAAAAAAAAATCCTGATCATTAAATGCAACATTATGTTCAGATATAACACTGAATTGTTACTACTGAATGAACCTACTCTCTCATCTTCTGACAAGCCTGTTATTAGTTGTAACTCGTTTATTTGATTCATACACGTATCAAGTGATAACATAGCTTATACTCTAATATATGAACCCACCAGTTTATTTGAACAAGCCAGAATCATAAAGTACAGTGAAAATGTTTTATCCCAGTTCAAATATAAAAATAAGTTTATTGAAAACTTGGAACAATTTCCTCTTCATATTCACAATGGAAGGTAGCTGAAAAGACATGCATTAAATATGAATGAGGCCAGTGTAAGTAATAGCTTGATTAGGTTGCAAGCTATTAAAATAAGGGACATGGTAGTCTGTTTCTCGAAGTGCCTTTAAAAGTATGAAGTGGGTATGAGTGATTCATACTGATAGTAATCCATATTTTCAAGGACAGGAAGATTCTAAAATACAATATTTATTTATTGAATTTATTTATTGAATTTATATCCCGCCCTTCTCCTTGCGGACTCAGGGCGGCTGACAATCAGTTTAAAAATACATCAATAACAATTACAAAATTAAAATTAGTTAAAAAGAAATATTTAAATGTTGTCTAATTAAAATATGATTAAAAACCCCTCTAAAAATTGCCCTAGGCCAGTCCCGCTTGTTGGAATAGCCATGTCTTGAGGGCGCGGCGGAAGGAAGGGAGATCAGGGATCACCCTGATCTCTGGGGGCAGCTCATTCCAGAGGGTGGGAGCTCCCACAGAGAAGGCCCTCCCCCTTGGGGTCGCCAGCCGGCACTGTCTGGCCGACGGCACCCCAAGGAGACCCACCCTGTGGGTTATTTGAACACCATCAAATAACATTACCTATATAGTTTTTATCATTGCTATTGAAGCAAAATCTGGAGATGCATGCATGAGTGATCAAAATAAAAGGGGCGTTGTCTTACCTGAACGCCTTTTTTCAGCACGGAGATGGAGAATCCACCAATGGGTTAGCTCTGTCTTCCTGCCCATTCAGACCAGGTCAGCCAAACTTGCCACGCCTGTCCTGGGCTAGGACACACCCAGTCTTGACAAGGGCGAAAACAGCTGACGACAGTCCAACGTGTTGGCTCCCAGACCCCTAACACTGGCCTGACGGCCTTACAGGGAGGGAGTGGATTCTCTATATCCGTGCTGAGAAAAGACGTTCAGGTAAGACAATGCCCCTTCTCCAGCACAGGAGATGGAGAATCTACCAATGGGACATGCCAAAGCCTCACCGTCCCAATGGGGGAGGGAACAGAAAAGACTGGAGCCACATCCCCAGAAACCACCTGCTGAAGGACCCTCCTTCCAAAGGAGGCATCCGCAGATGCAAACTGGTCTATCTTGTAGTGCCTCACAAATGGGGAAGGCGAAGACCATATCGCAGCCCTGCAAACCTCCTCGATGGAAGCCTGTGTGGCCCATGCCGCAGAGGTCGCAGCGCTGCGAGTAGAATGTGCCATGACATGACATGCAGCTGGCAGGGAATGCAACTGGTATGCCTCTGCAATGCAAGTCCTGATCCACCTGCCTATGGTTGAGGCAGACACCTTCTGCCCCCTGGAGGCCTGGTGAAAGGAGATGAAGAGGGCTTCAGACTTGCGAAAGGACACTGTTCTCTTGATATAGTGTCGCAATGCCCTGCGGATGTCCAGTGCGTGCCACTGCCATTCCAAGTCATGAGACGGATTAGAGCAAAAATCCGGCAAAACAATCTTCTGTGCTTGATGAAAAGGGCTGTTGACTTTCGGGATGAAGGTAGGGTCCAAACGAAGGATCACCCGGTTTTGGTGGAAGGCACAGAGATCCTCCCTGACCAACAGTGCCGCGAGCTCAGAGATGCGCCTGGCCGACATGATGGCGACCAGGAAAGCCACCTTGAGGGACAAGGACCTCAGGGCACAGGTTCTGATAGGCTCAAACAGCGGTTTGGTGAGGGCCCGTAGGACCTGGGGCAATTCCTAAGAAGGATACCTATGTACTACGGAAGGTTTTGTGTTGGTAGCGCTCTTGAGAAAGGAGCGTATCCTGGGATGCTGGGCCAAAGGAACTGAATTGGCACAGATAGGTAGAGTGGACAGGGCCGTGACCTGCCTGTGGATGGTGTTAGGCACCAACCCCTTATCGAGATCTTCGAGTAAGTATTCCAGGATGCTCGGGATTGTCATGTCCAAGATAGCTAGATGCCGTCTCTCGCACCAATTGCAAAAGTCCCCCCATGTGGATTCATAGATGCGATTTGTTGCCGGCCGTCGGGAGACCTGAATCATGGAAATCATGCCGGGCGAGTATGATTCCCGTGTCAAGATCCGGCATTCAAGTGCCAGGCAGCTAATTGTAGCCACTGGGGTTCTGGGTGTTGCAGAGTTCCCTGGCTGAGAGACACATGATCCGGGAGAATTCTCCATGGGGGAGAATTGGAGAGATTCACGAGGTCGGCAAACCATGGTCTCCGTGGCCAATACGGGCCACGAGTATAACCACCGCCCGCTCCTGCAGCATCTTGCGGATGACACCGCCGGAATAGGGACAGAGGGGGAAGCGCGTAAAGCAGGCCCCCCGGCCATGGATTTTGGAGAGCATCCGCTCTCTCCGCTCCTGGGGCCGGGAACCGGGAGAAGAATCTCGGGAGTTGGGAATTCATCGGCGAAGCGAACAAGTCTACGACTGGTAGTCGGAACCTCTGTGATACTTCGGCGATGAGGTCTGGGTGCAGGTGCCATTCGGAGTGATCCACAGTCGTCCTGCTTAGAAAGTGTG